AGCCAACTCTAATTCAAGGACAAACATGAATTGGCAGGACAACAGATGGCATTTTTAGCACATCAATTCAAGTAAAGTTTTAAAAGTTCCATCTATAACTTCTTGTAAATGTCAGAAGCTTTATCTCAAGCCTTTTTTCTACTGCAAACAGATCACATCGCGCTGATCATCGAGCTGCTGGGGAAGATTCCTCGTAAACTCATCACAAACGGCAAATATTCCAAGGAATTTTTCACCAAGAAAGGTACATCTGTCAATAGACACTTGATACATATGCGATTGCTTAGCTAATGTGTTTCACTTACTTGATAAACTTGCTGGCAGTGTTCAGTAGCTTTGTGTGAATGTCAGTTTGATTGATGGGGTATGTCTGCACTCCCATTATTAGTATAGCTATACATTTTTTAGTATGTGCGTAAATGTGTAGTCCATATAGCCGCTCTTATTTCTGTTTTAAAACTGATAGTTCCAGTTCTAACTTCTGATGTGGATGTGTCCATGTATTTATTTGTGCGCTAGGTGACCTAAGGCACATCACCAAGCTGAAGCCGTGGGGTTTGCAGGACGTGCTGGTCGAAAAGTACGAATGGCCCCGAGAGGAAGCCCAGAATTTCTCAGACTTCCTCCTCCAGATGTTGGACCTCATCCCAGAGAAAAGAGCCACGGCTGCCGAGTGCCTCCGTCATTCCTGGATCACCTCCTAGTGGCCAAAAAGCTCCAAACACACACTTCTCTGAACTCATGAATGCTCCCCACTGGCAGACGCTGTCTTAAGAGCCGTGCCTGGTGTCATGGCAGATATTAGCCGCGAGTACAAGAAGATCCAGTTCTCAAATTGTTGTTGCTTTTTTATGTAATTGGTATAATTTGTGTACTGTCATTACAGTGGTTTGTGCTCTTGCTAATTTATCTAACAGCCACTTCTCTATCGATTTCCGTCATATCACAGGATGGTTTGACACACGTCAGAATTGATTTATCTTCTTAAGAGATTGGACTTTGTTCCACTTCTCTCTGTTTTCTTAAAAGCGTAGTGTTGCAGTAAATTGGACTCAGTAGCTGATTGTGGTGTTTTTTTCACTGTATTAAAAAAAGATGTTAATCACAGCTTCCTTAAAACTGTTTTCCATATCTTATGTTTTACATCAGCTTTCCATATTCCATATGTTTTACATCAGCTGTCTGAATGAAGGGAACATGAATGGACATTTTTTTAAGTTATAAGAGTGTTTCAGAAGTCTTCATATTGAATGTGAGCTACTATACAGTGCAAGAGAAACACACACATATATTTTTACCACAAAGGGCAAAAAGAAACTCAAAGTAGAGAAATGCTAACCCTTCATGCGTCACAAAATCCATAAAGGACTATCATGTTTTTTTTTTAAAGTAATGACGTCTAACATGTGAATGCCAGGGAATAGTTTTGGTATCAAGGTCTATTTCTGTTACAAAATCTAAAATCTGTGAAAACATTTGACATTATGTACATACTCGTACCAAAGAGTTGGTTCTTCACACAATCAGTGCTGTACAGACTTAAGTCCCATCATTGTGTACAGTTTTGCTATGAATGAATGGCTTAAGGAACATGTTTGAGAATCACTGATTTAGAGATGCCTTGAAATGAATCTGCAATGATCTGTCTGTCTGAGCTTTTTTTTCCCCTACAGTGTTGATTCAAGCAATATCCCAGCTTGACTTAGAAGGGCCTTTTGCTTTCTCTTCTAGATGAGGCGGTTTCATGTGACCTTTTACAGCATCACAAATATCATCTGCTGTCTCCTTTTTCATGAATGTCTCTCTGCTGTTGATTGTCCAGCATTGGACTAAAATTGTTTCTGTAGTAACTTCAAATAAAGATTTTGAAATGGCAAAAGGCTTTTGTAGTTTGGATTAACTTTTTGGTTCTGATTCATAATGCAAGCTACGAGCGTATCCGGTTTCATTTTGGAATGAATTTCTTATGTTGGTTTCAATTCGTCTACATTGTTTCAAATGCGGCCATCACCAGACTTTAAGCATGTTAAATTCCTTTGGACACCACAACAGTTGTGAGATGACGTCACATTCTGTGGCATCTTTTTTAAAAACATAAATTTAACAAATAATAACTCCAAAATGTAAAAAATATACAATTTACTGTAACTTCCTGCAACACTGCAGCTTTAAAGTTTGTGCATAAGATCCCTGTTGAAAAAAACAGCATATGCTGGTTTGGTATGTTTTGACGCTGGGATGCTGGTCCTTTGCTGGTCCTTTTGCTGGTTTATGCTGGTCATGTGCTGGCAAAGGGACCAGCAAAGGACCAGCTTAAACCAGCAAAGGACCAGCTTAAACCAGAATCCCAGCGTCAAAACATACCTAACCAGCATATGCTGGGTTTTTCAACAGGTTATGCAGCAACAGGTCCTCATGTGATATGAATTCACAGGTCAGAATTGACCAAACTTCAGATTTGGAATGCAGTAAAATGCAAAACTTCTTTGCATGAGCTTGTGTATGAATGAAAGTGAATGGAACAGGAACTGCAGTGTAACCACCTCTTTAATGATGTAACTAGCAGAAAGAGCCACTGAACTAATCAGGTAACAAATCTGAATCTTTTAAGCAAACATTTAAAATATTCGAGTCCCTGACTGGTATGAATGAAAGTCCCCACTACAGGGTGGAGCAGGATTTTGGACCAATGAGATTCATTGTGGGTGGGGCTAATCGATGTGACTTCATATGAATAGAAATCAGTTTAGTTCAGATTTCTTTTTTTTTTTTACACTCAATTTGACTTTGGTCTCAAAATATAAAATTGCTGTTTATATATTAGAAATACTGCCTGAAGTAACCTCAAAGGTGGCAATTACTTACTATAGACACATTAAAATAATTATTTTTCTTCATATTTCCTTCAGATAGTCAGAAAGTGGCCTGTAAACCCACAGGGTCCAATGAGCCTCATGATGTGCAGGGGTCTTCATGCTTCCTCTAAGGACAAAAAAAGAACTATATTAGTTTCTCAATAACTTTCACAGCATTGCATGAGGATTATGAGAACAGGAATAGCATGATTAATAGTGTTTTGCTGTCTTCTTGCAAGTGACAATGTGAAAGGCACACATTAATGCACACAAATCTGTCACAGCTAATAGAATTCATTTTACTAGCGCTAGCATTTTACTAGAGAGCACAAAAGGAATCCTGTCTCTCTGGGCATTGTTATTTTTACACAGCAGAAGATACATGAGCGTTTCCTTCAAAAAGAAGCAACTTTACACCGCCATGAGAGACCTGCTTCAGTTTGATCAGAGATCAAATGCTGAAGACTAGAACACGGGTGCTGTAAAAAGAAACAAAACACCATCTGCCTGTCTTTTCTATAATATATTGAGGAATAATTCACCAAACAAAAGAAATTTGTCATTATTTAACCCCACCGATGCTATTTTAAAACCGTGTGACTGTCTTTCCTCTAAAAGTTGATGGTAACCAGTGCTGGATAGTAACTGGTTATATGTAATCTGATTCCACAAATTAAGTACTTGTAATTAGATTACATTACATGTTAAAATGCTCATAATCAGATGAGCAGTACGTAAGTTTTGCATCTTTGTCGCCATCTCCATTTGAATCCTGCAATTGCAGTTATTTGCAGATTCTTCTTTATGTGGGTTGTGCATCGGCCCGGCTCCTCAGCGCGGATGAATCTAATGTTTTGAGGAGTATGTGTGGCTGTCAGTCACCGCACCAGTGTGAATCTATCTATCTATCTATCTATCTATCTATCTATCTATCTTTAATTAACATTAACATTAACTTGTGTGCAGCCTACATTACAAACTGTCCTGGTTGAAGTTTAGCCTTAATGCAATTGGTCAAATCGCTGTTGTTTTGAGCAAATGAATTGCATTCCCACTGAAAAACAAGCGTTCTAGCGTGAAAACGTTGCCGATAAATAGTGTTGCTTGCTTAGTAGTCTCAGCCTCAGACGTCACACCCACGGACCGCTGGCTGAACGTCTGATGCATACGGCACACAAAATTGGAAACACTTAAGGAGTTTTGAAGTCGTCATCGGATTGGTCGAATTATACAGGATTTCCGGGAGACGTGTGTGTTGCGTTCTTTAACGTTCCACCTGGAAACAAATATGCCGTGACGCCAAACCCCCTCATGTTAGAAGAAAGCCGTCGTGTTTACAACTGTGACGATGAGCGCTTACACGCCCCTAAACATGACGCGGCACAAAACGAAATGTGATTGGTTGCTTTAACTGTCAGTCATATGGCCTCTTGGGCGGTTCTTGCCATTCAAAGCGGCCAAGATTCCCAGACCTTCTGCCATCAGTCTGAAGGTCTGGCTACACGAGACTACTTGCTTGGGAACTAATGTCAAGTTTACATGACTCTGTTCTCTGGAATCCTCTCAAGCAGAGGACTTCTATATTCCGATTGGTTGCCGCCGTACCGCATCATAGCTCATTACCATAAAGTTGACCTGACTTCAACTCTACTCGATGCCCACACCGTCCAAGACGCGCCGCAGCAGGCCCACATTAAAAATGAATGACTTCCGGCCACTTCGACGCTCACGCCGGCAGCGGTGTGAACGCACAGTAAGTAGTCAGAATACATTACCTAAAATGTGTAATGTAATAGATGACGCGACTAATTACAATTTTCGTCACGTAGTTTGTAATCAGTAATGGACTACAATTTGCACGTAATCTAGCCAGTACTGAAAGTACCTTTTTTCTCCTCCACCTGGAAGTCTTCTGGCAGCAGTTTGTCTTGCCGGTTACCCAGTACAAAGGCCAGGAAGGATAATGTGAGCGAGTCCATGATGCTGATGATGGCCAGGATATATGCCCAGCGCACTGTGCAGTTACCCAACGTGTATTTATCCGTCCGCTGACCACACATCCTCTTCACCTCCTCTGAGTCCCAGCCATCTGGATAGATCATACAGCCTATGACCATACAAGTTGCTGAAGATGAGAAGAAGAAGAAAAAAAAAGTCAGATAAAAATGACATGAAAATTACGTGTTATTTATTTATTTACCTTTTACATTTTTGTGGTTTCTTAAAGCATTTTGTGTTTTATAATTGCTCTGATTAAATTTAGCTGACAATCCATTAAACAGAAATGGCCTAAAGTTCATATAACAGTTGCAGTCCTTGAATTTGATTGGCTGAGCTGCATTCAGCACTACTCACTCAAGTCACCTTTATTTCTATAGTGCTTTATACAATACAGATTGTTTCAAAGGAGCTTCATAGCAATAAACAGGAAAATGTCACAATTACAAAAATTACAAAAAAAATTCAGAATTACAAAATTACAAAAAAAAACATTTGTTGTTATTTTGAAGTTTCAATTCATCAAAGAATTGTGAAAAAATGTTTCACGGATGACACTGAAGACTGGAGTAATGGCTCAGATTTGCCATCAAAGGAATGAAGTACATCTTAAAATATGTTAAAACAGAAAAGTTATTTGAATTGATAATTTCACAATATTATTGTTCTTACTGTATTTTGATCAAACAAATGCAGCCTCTGTGAGCATAAGAGACTTCATTCAAAAACATTAAAATTCTAGTGTATTTCCATTGGTGGAGCAAAAACAGAAAACATGAACTGCCAACATTGTGTTTAAAACTTAGCACAGTTTCTGGTGTGATAACATTTAAATTTGTCTTTATCATTGGGCAATATGATGTAAATGTTCAATATTTTTTGTAGACTTTAATATTTAAGTCTATAGAAAGTAACTTTCAAAACATAAACCCACCCTGAGAATTATTCACTGGAGACATGCAAGACTCATTCGCATTATAGTCAAAAATACTCTTGGCTACTAGAAATACTTTGCACTGGGACTGTTGCCTGGCAACTTCAGCCACACTTAACTCATCATTTATTATTCATATGACAATATACTCTGTGCAGGGCAGCTGGTGCTGCTGTGGGTATTGCGTTACACACACTCTGTCTCTCTCGCTCATTATCACTCTCACTTTCGTTTAATGAGTATGCATTGCAAATGCATTGTTATGTAACATGATGTGATGAGAGGGTTATCTGTGTCCTCATTGATCAATTCATTAGAGAGGATGAGACTTAAACACACTATATTTCGCAACACAGCACAATTTGCAATGTATTACATTGATATACTGTAAAGCAGCGTTGCCAGTCAATAAGATTGGAACTGTCCAGGGTGCTGAAGTCCTGAGTAACCTCATGTATTACAGGACTGATACAAAGCCTCAAGAATGTAACTGAACTTTGGAGCATCTGAAGAGTTAGTACTTAACTTTCACAGGCAATTAACTCAGACTACATTAACTGCATTAATAAAACTGATAAAAAAAGATTTTCATTTGGGTTAATTTAAATAAATCTGTAATAAAAGATACATTTTTGATGAAAACGTAATTTTTTTAATTTCAATTAGTTGCCAAGGCAACATTTCAAATTTGTTCAAATTTTAAATACTAAAACATAAATACATAACTAAAACTAAAATAAAACAGACATTTTTAAAAAAGCAAAAACTTTAAAAAATAAAATTACTAAAATTTCGAACTAAAATTTAAACTAAAAATATAAAATAAAAGCTAATTCAAAATATTAACAAATACTATAATAGTATATAAATAATACAAAATTAACACAACATTTAAAACGCATAGAAATTATTTAATGTTACTGCCTTAGATAATAAATTATTAAATTACATCTGCAAACAGATTATGTCACTTTATGCAAAACAGAGCAACAAATAAATGCCACTTGGTTTGATATATAATAAATTTAAGATTTTATATTTTTAAGAAAATACTTTTTAAATGTAACTTAAATGTCCAAATAGTTTCTGGGGTGCTGTATATAAAAATAAATTATAATATATATAAAATATAATTATTTTTTAACCACCAATGTAAAACATATTATATAATAATTAATGTTTATGTCATTAATAAAACCGAAATTCAGGGAAATACTAACCAGCTGCCAGCTGCATCCATGCGCAGATCTTATACACGCTGCCTGAGTTGCAGAAAAAGAACAAACTAAAGCAGACAATAGTCCCCACGATCAGCAGCAAAGAGATCCCAACGAAGAACATAGCGGTTTTGAAGGCACCTGAAGGTATAGATCCAAAGTCCAAAGCGCTGCCCTTACACACCAGCTCTCCTGTGATGGGGTTCCCAATGCAGTAGTGAAAAAGCCCGAAGTATCCCGACTGAGGGGTGTCAACACTGTCTCCAATCCAGTAAGGCTGAATGAAGACCACCACACAGATGATGGCGAAGCAGATGGTGAAGATAGTCCACAGTACACCAACAGCCCTCGCGTTTCTCACGTAATTTGTGTGATAGATCTTGGCAGCCTCCTGGGCCGATAACATTTTAGTCATGTTTGCTGCAGATGATGGGCCACCCGAAGGTGTGCGTTAAAGCAATGTTCAGACAGTAGACAACTAACAACTTGGTATGTGAGAAAAAAAGTCTTCCTTGAATCAATCCACTGCTTGAAATAAAGCTTAAAACTAAAAAATAACAACATATAAAAAAAACTGCCTGGTCAGCGAACGTCTTCTTTCTGAAGGAAGTGTACAGTTCTGGACCCTGAGAGATGCATTAGATAATGTAACCCAGAATTACTGTAACCTGAGTCTCCACCTGCAGGCCATCAGTGGTTAGATGTATCCTCCGACTCTGCCCATTAGATCCGACAGAAGAGAGAGTTTGGAAGCTGATGAAAGTGCTCTCTTCATTCAGACAAGCACTGTGTGGTGCTGTGAGATCACTGGATTATTAATTAATGGAGGTGTAGAGTTGCACTCTGGCTGTGTGTCAAACCTAGAGAGCTGACTCACCGTCTGTGACTAAAACAGCTCCTTGTCATTCACTGTGCTAATGGTTTTCACTGAAAGTAGACAGACAGAGTCTACAGTCTGTCCGTCTCTTTAGTACCACAGACAGGTAGACAGAAAGAGGGAGAGACAGACAGACAGATATATAGACAGATAGGCAGACATAAAGATATACAATTGAATTTGAATTGAATAGATATATAGACAGACAGACAGATATATAGATATACAGACAGATATATAGATAGATATATAGACAGAAAGACATAGATATATAGATATACAGGCAGACAGATATAGAAAAATAAATAGACAAACAGATATATAGATATACAGGCAGACAGAAATAGAAAGATAAATAGACAGGCAGATATATAGATATACAGGCAGACAGATACAGATAAGATATATAGACAGACAGATATATAGATATATAGGCAGACAGATATAGATAGATATATAGACAGACAGATATAGGCTATAGATATACAGGCAGATAGATACAGATAGATATATAAATATACAGGCAGATAGATACAGATAGATATAGACAGACAGATATATAGATATACAGGCAGACAGATATAGATAGATATATAGACAGACAGATATAGGCTATAGATATACAGGCAGACAGATACAGATAGATATATAGACAGACAGATATATAGATATACAGGCAGATAGATATAGATAGATATATAGACAGACAGACAGATATATAGATATACAGGCAGATAGATACAGATAGATATATAGACAGACAGATATATAGATATACAGGCAAAGGTTTACAAGAAAATGAACATTCAATAAATCATAATCAGTTCTGGGATATGTGGAATAATCTGAGCACAACAAAACTACAAGACAGAAACATTTGGACAAAACATTTTGAAAATGTATATAAAGTAATCCCTCCAAAACAACTCAATGACAATTCAGATCAAACAAAGTCTACAAACTTATGAAAACACAAGAACTGACCCTTCGCAAAGTTATTTAGCAGTATTTTAAACAACAGAATTGTAAACTTCCTTAACGAACACAGGGTCCTGAACCAGAGTCAGAATGGGTTTCTTACAAATCATAAAACTACTGATCAAATTTACACCCTGCACACCTTAATCAATAAACACGTAAAATAGGCCAAAATCTGAAAAATATGGGTATGCTTTGTCGATTTCAAAAAAGCATTTGATTCTGTTTGGCACGATGGAAAATATGCAAAAAAATCCCTCCAATTCTGGATGCATCTAAAATTGAGTCCCACAGATTCACGACATTTTAAAGCGCTACAAACTCAAGAACTGAACTCTGAAAAAGTCCTCTCAGTCAGCTGGTTCTGAGCCTTACTAAACTGACTAACTCTACTAACACTAACCAGTCTAACACTGCTTCTCACCCAAACATCTAAATTTATCAAATTATCAAACAATCCAAAAACACATATCTGGAACATTGGGATCACGAAACTAATACACGAAGTAAGCCTGCAATTCTATTGAAGTCTAAAATCAAATTATGAATAGGTATAGTATCTCCAGAGTGCAAGGGTGCCGTAACAACTTATTCCAAGGGCCCTGATAAAAGAGGGCCTTTAACAAAGGGTCCAATGAGAGTCCGCAATATGATGCTTTACCCAGTAGGAGGCGCTGTGATATTGTGAAACCACCTCTGCTAGACACTCGGAGGACCAAGAGGGCTTTTTAGCTCTGAGTGAGCGTCTCATATTTATTTTAATCTCTGATTCAATAACTGCGCTGATTATTCTATTACAGTCAAGTCCTGTGTTCAGGGTTCAGACAGAATTTTATTAATGTTACGGTTTAACGTTTACAGATATTGTGTGGCTAAATCAGATTAGCCCTGCTGTCAGTAAAAGTATATGTGCAAACTACTACATAATCGCCCCGTCTGTTTTAACAATTCCCATTTTTAAAAAGTGACAGAGAGGGACAAATAACATTGGCATTTAGAGATAATAATGTCACCATCCCCATCACCTGTCCCTCCGGTGCATAATTGCACAATAATTCATGATTAAAATATATGAACCAAAGGTGCTGTGACAATAGCACAATACAGTGGCCCCCTGGGGTTGAATAAGGAAATCAATGAAGTGCTCATCTGCCCAATTCAACCGTCCCACTGGCTTTGTCATGAATAGCCACCAGATGCATGTCAAGTGACGGACAGAACGTGCCATCTGCTGCTCTTGATAGCATTTTGTAGGGCAGAGAAACAGCTTATTTTATTTTATTTTGCATCATGGAAAGCATTGATGAATTACAGGGAATTACACAACACCATTAGTACAGAAAGCTTCATAATGTGAACGGACTGCTTTATGATATATCACTAAAGCTTTGCAGCCTTGATGGTAGTGTGATTTTCCTCTGGGACATTTTGGACCCCCCCAGTCCCGCTATTCAACAAAGATTTCCTTAATAATGTTTAACCAAATGATATATGAACAAACTGATCTGTCAGACCCATGATCCACTGTTCTTGTCACTTTTAGTTTTATCTCACAGCAATTTATTAGAACAGCAGACTTTCAGAGCAAAACAATAGATCGTTTGGCCAGTTTGCAATGCTTTAATATTCCATCTTACTTTTATATTTTAAATGGAAAGACAAATCTCGAAGTATTTGCTTGCTTAGGGTTTGAACAAACACTAATCATTGTACTTTTGTCGAGAAGAGTTGTGAAGATAAACTTACTTTCATTGAAAGAACGACTCTAGCTACATCTAGAGACCAGAGAGGCTTTTTTTAACCCTCCAAACGTCTGTTCTGGGAGCGTTTGGTAACTAAGTGGGTACAAAATTCCGCAAAAAAAAGTCGGATTACTTGACGGTAGCAAATGCACGTGCACTGCTAAACACTGTAATGTTTACGACAGTGACTTCCACTCACTGAACTGTAGGGTACGGGGCTCCAAAGTTGCAAAAATACACAAAACTACATAAGGTTGCTTTAAAAGTAGCCTAGCTCAACTAAAAAAAAAACGCGACTCTACAGCTTGCGGTTTTAAACACATTTTTACAATAAACATGGGTTTGACTTACTTTTGCCATTGCACGTGCGTGTTTTGCAGCGTTTCGGCCATAAATCTGTGGATTCTGAACACTCGGAATTTTATGGAAGGCGGACGGGGCCAAAAGTCTTTATACCGAATGTGTGAAATTTGACCGTCAAAAAAAACAAAAAACAAAAATTAAATAAATACAATAAAATAAAATAGATCATTTTTGAACATGTTTATTTTGTATGTGTAGACATTCACTTTCTGGCTGCGTTAAGGCATTATTTTAAAAAATATAATTCCACAAAAACTGAAAGTTATTTTATAATTGTGGGTGGCATATTGTAGCTTGTATTTCCATTCCTTTTTTTAATTCAAATGTGAGACAAAACAATACGAAACACAATACAAAATATTGACACAGTGGAAAGACAACAAAGAAAAAAGATAAAAAGAAGAAGAATTAGTAGAATTTATTTATGATAAAGAAAGTAATCGACATAAGCTGACAGGATATAAGCTACATAAATTAAATAACGGGACACAAAATGTTCTTCATGAGTTTCTTGTGATTCATGAATCTGTCATGAATCTACTTCACTTTACTGCAATTCAGCAATCCTGTAAGTTTAAAGTTTGCATTCTTTTAATTCAGCTAAGATGCCACGTCAATCTTCTATTGGTCACATGTCTTCGTGATACAAAATCACAGGGCAGAGTTCACCGAACTTGAGATTTGGAATGCAGCAAAATTCACACGAGTTTGCGTTTCCTGTCTCCCGTATTCGCATACGTATGAATGTAAGTCAATATAACAGAAAGTGACGTGTGACCAGCCCTTTAAGGTGCAGTCACATTATTAGCGAAATTTGAAAATATGGAAAAAATGGTCCATTTTCCATTCTCAATAGTGTAGCTATGTGTGAAGCACTGATCACACAGAAGTCAGTTTCAAACAAAGGAGTTTTCGGTTGATCAGCGCGGCAAATTCGCATGACCAACTTAAACATAAACGAAATCTGCATGAGGAACTTTTTTGCATGAAAATCCCAATTGCGCAGATTCGTATCGAAATGAATGGAATTTGCCCACAAAATTTCTCAACAGTAAATGTGACCACATGACATTCTAAAAACATGGTGCTTGGGTTAAAAGTAATTCAACTTTTATAAAAAGCCATTTTGCTTTTTTTTTTTCAATTGCATTTCCCTGTGTCTTGTATTTTTGCTGTGTAAACATGACCATATTTGTATGAATAAAACTTCATTGCACACTGCAACACTACAGGCCTACAGTACATCCAATCAGGCGATTTAATGTCAACCTCTGGTCATTTACTGTGTGGTCTTTCCACAATGTGGCCAGACAGCTGGTGTCCATGAGTGAGGTGTACTTACACTAATGAGCATTGCACTTCACCAGCAGTATTCTCTAATGATTTGACCCCACTTGTTTTGAGGTCCCTAAAACCTTTTCAGTCTGTCCTTTACTGTAATCTAGACCGCTGATG